ATGTTCTAAAGTAAATGATTTAAAAGATATGTTTATGCTCTAAAATCAGTTTATTATGTTCTAATCTATATGCTTATATTTTAAATTGTTTGCTTATGTGTGTAACTTTATTTTTGTAAGCTACATGCTTACGTTCCAAAGTTTATGTTTTAAATGATATGCTTATGTTCTTAACTTTATTTTTTTAATAATAAACTATATGCTTATGTTTTAAAGTACATGTTTTTAACAGTAAACTTATGTTCTAAACTTGATACATGTGTTCTAAACTATATCCTTATGTTCTACTTTATGCCGATGTTCTAAAGTTTATGTACTAAATCAAATATTTTTCTCCTATTTTGTAATTCTTATATTCTGAATTGATTGCTTATGTTCTAAAATTTTTTCAGAGTGTTTCGAAAAAAAAAAGTGAAAAGTAAGAAAAGAAAGATTGAAAAAAAAAGAGGATGATGAGGATGTCGAAGTTATCAGAGAGGAAAAGAATCTAAACAAGAGGACACCTTATCAAAGAGTTCCTCCTACGAAATTTATGAAAACGGTGTTGAAAGATCTTTCTAATAAGCATAAACAAGCAATTAAGAAAATTAGATTTGGTGATTTTTTGGAATTGGATGTACCAACTCATGCCGATTCTTAGTAAGCACTAGCATTAATATTTTATTATTTTTTATTTTTATGTTATATATATTTATTGTGTTTTAAATCTTATTATAATGTTCTAAAATACTTATGTTCTAAATTAGTTTTAGATTATGTTCTAAAGTATTTTTGGTGTCTCTCAAAGTGTAAGTATCTTTCGGCTATTCAGTTACTATATCATTATTAAGGTAGCTGTTCATTATAAAAGATTCATAGATTAATCTCACTATGTAATGAAAAGGTCACTATGTAATTCAAGTAATCACATTTAAAAATAATAACTCTACCTTCTATTTATTTAATATTATTAATGTTTGATAGATCTTTTTTAGGCTGTTTTACTCGAAGTTGCAAACAAAGATAGTAACATACAAGAAATTGACAAGCTATTTGACATTTGGTCAAGATGGTTGTTCATTCCTTGCAATGATTTTGATCTTGCAAATGTTGAGTTGGTAATATATTTCAAATGTTGACAATCATTTTTCAACTAAGTACTTTTATATTAAGTTTTTCAAGCATAATAGTTCTTTATTTATTGCAGATTTTTGTTCCTATACTCTTGAATGAGCACTTCTTCCTAATTGTTGTGAATTTGAAGGAAGAAAAGCTTCAGTTCATTGATAATATGAGTTATGATACGAAGTACATGAGTGAGGTTGAGAAGTCCTCTGATGTTCTGGTAAAAATATGATGTTTTGGATTTTATTTATATTTTTCTATTTAGGATATGATGTATGGAACCTAAAGTATTATTATATTTTGCCTAGAGTGATATGATGAGTACTTTTCTTGATCAACGCCTTCCTCAAAGTAATGAATCAGTGAAGAACATGGTTGAGTACCCTTTGGAGTCACCTTCTCTAAATTGGAAGTCTGGAAAACAGAAATAATGATAATGACATTTATATTATGGTCAGCATGCTTTACTTTGATGGAGGTGATGTGTTCAACTGCGATGTTTTGAGAATGGTTATTATTCTCATTTTTTTATTTGGCTTTCAATTTTTAATATATTAACTATTTCCTCCATGGAATTTAACTAGCTTTTTTAATTCTAATTTTTGTTTTAAATTAATATATTAGGTTTCAATTAGACGGGTAATGAGAGCTCAAATTGCAGCTACTCTGGTATTGTCTGATATGAACACTATCAGAGATGAAGTTCATAAAAAGCTATCTGAATTCAAATCAATAAGGAGTCAAGTTCTTAAAAAGATGTTTTTGATCGGAGGAAGAAGAAAACAAAGCAAGGTAAAAAGGAAAAGAGTGTATAGGCAGACTAACAAATATGTGGATGAAGTTTTTTGCTTAGAATTAGGAAATCTAATGTAATGATCTAGTTTGCATCAACTAATGCATAGTCAAAAGAATTTGTATAAGTTTTAATGTAGAACAATATGATATGATTCCAGTTCATACGAAGGTTTTGAATTGGTGGTATTGGTAGTTTTTTTGATATGTAATCCTTAATTGACATTCAAGAAAGTTTAGTAAAATATATATTAGTTATAAATTGGGTGCCTATGTTATAAAAAATGGTATCTATGTTATTTATAAAGGTATCTATGCTATTTAAATGGTTTCTATATTATAAGGTCACTATGCATTAAAAGGTATCTATGTTATTTAAAAGGTTTCTATATTATAAAGTCACTATGTATTTAAAATGTTATTAGTTCAATGTGTTATATATAATTAAGTTATAATGCAAAATTATCACCATATTCATTATTCTATTTTGTATACATATGTGACAAGTTTTCAAGGACCTATAATAAATATGTACCTAAAAATGCCTAACTTTTTTTATCTCTTAAAAAGAGAAAAAAAGAACTTGAAAAAGGATATTATATGAATTTTTATAGTCACTATGTAAGTAAAATGGCATTATATGAGTTAAAAGTTGCCAATTACTATGCGATGCAAAAGGATCACTATGAGATGCAAGAGCGTTACTATGTGATTAAAAATAATTCTATAATAATTTGTCTCTATTTAAATAAAAAGGTCACTATGTAAGGTAAAAGTGTCGTATTTATATTAATTTTTTTTAAGCTATTCAATTAGTATATCAATTTAAAGAACGAGCCCCTCTTTCCCTAACTTTTTATTGGCTTAATCCATGTGGGTTAGGAGAGCTGAGGGGGGCTTAAAAGAATTGTGAAAATGTGAGTATTTTTTATAATGGTTCCTATATCATAATAAAGGTCATTATATCACTAAAAAGGTGGTTCCCACGGAACAAGGTTCCAATACGATGAAAAAAAGTCACTATGACATTAAAAACACATGCTATAATATAAATTTAAGTTATCATATGCCACTAAATCACTACATCAAAATAACAATATAAAGGTCAACAAAAAGTTTAATAATAAAAGGTCACCCTATCAATAAAATTTTATCAATAAAAGGTCCCTGTTTAATATATGTGCAACAAAAACAATCACTGTATCAATAAAAAAGGAACTATAGCACTATGTTCTTTCTCTCCTCTCATCTCCTCTATTTCAACACTAGGCCGTCAGTACCTGATGTTGCTTCTTGTAAATATGAAGTCGTTTTGCAGCCTTTCTACTCTTCTTTGAAATCCTGAAATCATGTACATGAACATATATAAAATAAAAATCTAGTAGGAAGTAAGCATAGTACAAAATTTATTTATTTTTTTCTAAAAAAATACCTCATTCAAGTTGGATTCTTTTTTTTGCGGAAAATTCCGACTATCATGGTTTGTTCTCTAAACACAAGTTCTACAAAGTCTATCTTTCCTTTGGCTTTCCTCAATAGCAATCTCTTTGTTAGATTTTTTCCTTTTCCCACTACCACTACCTTTGTTGGAAGACTTGTTTGGAGGAAGAATATCAACAACAATGTCATTAGATCCAACAAATAATTCAATGTGCTTATTTTTTGCCCCACGTTTATCAATTGGACTTTCAGAATCCAAGTCTTTCATCTCATTTTCAAAAGATATTAGCTTAGACAACAATGACTCAAGGCATTCAACTTTCTCCTCACAAAGACTTACACATGAAAAAAACATGTACCATAAATCACCAACTAGCTTTTGCTTCTTATCCTTCTCTGCCCCATCAAGCAAGTTGTTTAAGCCAAAAATTGGTTTTTTCATAGCTTCTTTAGTCCAACGATGCAAAATATATTGCCTTGGAATCTCAATTAAGAACTTTCCTTTCATGACAAAGAGAATGTGACGACTTAATATTCCAACAAATTCGAACATTTTACAAGAGCATGAAGCATCATTAGAACACAAAACATATGTGACATGATAGCTTTTTTTCGTTGTGTTGTCAACAATTCTATATTGCTCAATCCTTTCTTATTCTTTGATGGTAACACTACTTATACCACAATTGTACAAAGCATGCTTGAATTCCTTTTGGAATATGTAAAATATATTATGAGTGTAAACTAATGCAGCATGCTTTTCCAAGTGTAGGGGGGTGACAAGTTGGGGATGAAGTAGCTTTTAACTTGTCTTGTGTGTGCCTTTGAGCATCGATTGCAGATTCATAGCGAAACCATAACTCAACCAATAACAAATGGTGATTAGTGAAATTAGTGAAAAAGCTATTTTCACACTCTGATCTTTAAGTTTACCTTAAAATCCCACCCATAAAAAGGTCACGAAAGTAGGAAAGAATCCTCATATTCCTTATATTATACATATTTTTAAACCAATCTTCATTCACTAAACTGCCAACCAATTTCAAATTCTTCAGGTTCAAGGTCTCTATTCCACACAACATAGTTTATGACGAAAGTCAGTTTCTAAGCATAATTTGGGCCCAACCTTTTGTGACACTTTTTTCTTAATGTGCCACATACAAAACCTATGTTTTTCCTTATCAAGAACTTTTTCAATTGCCACTTTCCTTGCGGGGTCTTGATCTGTTACGATACAGGTAGGCTGACAATTATTCATTGCCTTTAAGAAAGTTTCAAATAACCATTCAAAGGATTCAATATCCTCCTTTGCAAGTAAGCCTATCCCAAAAGTCACACACTTACCATGGTGATCAACACCCGTAAATGGGGCAAAAACCATAGAGTATTTGTTAGTGTCAAATGTAATCATATCACAGAACAACAAATAATTTTTTCTACTAATTGCATCTGCCCAAAATACTCTTGTCAAACGTTGATGTTCATCCATACAATGCTCAAAGAAAAAGGCACCTTCACTGTTTTCAACATTTTCTTTCAAATTGTTTATAAACATCAAAGCATCTTTCTCTTGTATGTAAGCTTTCAAATCTCGATTAAAGTTCTTGAAATCATTCAATGTTGCACCTATATTATCATAGCTACCAAGATGTTCTTTCATCAACTTATAAGACTTTGTTTGGACCAATGTTCAATTTAGAGTTGTCAAAAATAAATTTTTTCTGGCCAAGTTTAAGGTTTCCAACATTTGCCAAAAAATTCATTCTGTTGGTAGAAGCAAGATTGTGGCTATGAGATTCATGAAAGACAAAAACCATCCATTTTCCATCTGAACGTTCCCTAAACCCAATCATTGCATTACATCCAACACGATTTATGGTTATTTTTCTAGCTTTAGGCTTTTCATCTTTCTTAGCAACTCTTGCTTTAGTTTCACCATCCTTCGTAAACCCTTGTTTATTACAATATAAATATTTCAAGTAGACTTTATCACTATCCTTAATTCTCTTTCCAGTACTTAGTCTTACCACAAACCCACCAAATCTAGCATATTGCTTATAAAAATCAACACCTTTAAGTAAGGAATCAAAAGGTACCAAATGTAGGCTTTAGTTCAGGGGGACAACACGTTATGACTTTTTTGTTCCTCTAGGAGTGTAACACACACTTGGGCCCTTTAGTGACGGCAAATTTTCAGAAACATTGGTAGTTGTAGATGTATTTGAGCAACTAACTTCTTCTGATTCCTCTTCCATTATCTGCATATAATATCAAATAATATGGTTTAAAATGGGTACTGTAATAAACTAAATATGATCCATTCCATGGTGCAACTAATTGAGCACCAACAAAACAATGTACAATATATGGTTATGGTATCATAAAAAGAGTTACTATATATATGGTATTGAGCAAGGTGTTAGTCATTCAAGCAAATACACAAACGCCTTATGTGCAACAATTTCTCCTAGTGTCTAATATCATATATCTAGGAAAAAAACTTCAATACAAAAAAATAAAATATTTATATTGCAAATATATTGGTTGAATCGTTACAAAAACGAAAAAAGAGCATAGAAAAAGAAAAGAAAAACTTCATTTGAAACTAAAAAACAGAGCAAATAAAGTCATTCAAGCAAAATCACAAACACCTTATGTGCAACAATAGAAACCTTCACAGATGAAATGATTGAAACTTGTAACAAAAAAAATCAAGGAAATAATATCAAAATAGCATATTTGTATGAAAAAAGAACATAATATAAACTTAAATTTATGAAAAACGAATAAAAATCAAACATGATACATAGATAGTGATTTCAGCAACATTGATAGTGAAACGAATTGGATGAAAAAAAATACCTCAGAATCCATTCGTCAATGTGATTTAACAGTTCGTGATTCTTAATTGAAAGTTTTTCGTGAAAATTTTGATAATTAATCAATGAATTTTTCAGAAAAAAATTGGGGGAAAAGGGTTAGTTTCAGGGGAGAAGAAGCTTAAGTAAATCCCTTTGAAATTTCTAGGTTGTATTTCAACCGTCAAATTATCTCATTAATCATTAACGGTTGAGATTTGTTGTTTTTAGTTTTCACCATGGAGTTAAAGGAATTGTTGATGCTGGTGTTACAACAATTCCTTCCATATTCATTCACCCAATTTCTAAACGACCATTACCTCAAAACACCAACACTTCTAATGTTGAAGATGCTAGGTTTTAATTTCCAATCATTGATCTTTTTGCGAGCAAAAATGATTTGGATATAAGAAGAAGGTTGTCGATAAGATTCGAGAAGCCTCAGAGACATGGGGATTTTTTCAAGTGATAAATCATGGGATTCCAGAGATAGTTATGGAGGATACATTGAAAGGAGTAAAAGAATTTTTTGAGCTTGATGATGAGGTTAAGAAAGGTTAATAGCAATGCTGATCTTTACTCCGAACCTGCAACTAATTGGAGAGACACTTTTGGTTGTATGATGATTCCTAATCCTCCTCGTCTCGATGAATTGCCTCCCCCTTGCAGGTTTGTCTCTTTTAATATATCGCTTTACTTTTTGTATCTAGAATTAGTTATCACATTATTTCATATTCTAGAGAAACGACAATTTTTTTTTTAAAAAAAAAAAAATCATTTAATATCATCCTTAAGCTCTTTCATCAATTTTTAAGTAGAAGCAAATTAGAAAATTTTTAAGTAGAAGCAAAGTAGTAAATTTTAATTACGTAATCCTCATTAATTAGAATTTGATAATGAAACTGTAGGGAGATACTACCGGAGTATACCAGTCAATTGATGAAACTTGGAAAAGTGTTGTTTGGGCTTCTTTCAGAGTCACTTGGGCTGCAACAAACCCATTTATACGACATGGGTTGTTCCGAAGGCCTAAACGTTTCAGGTCATTATTATCCGGCTTGTCCACAACCCGAATTGACAATGGGTACTGCAAAATATACTAATAGTGTTTTCTTAACTATTTTGTTACAAGATCAAATTGGTGGTCTCCAAGTTCTTCATCGAGACCATTGGATTGATGTTCCACCTACTCCTGGAGCTTTGGTCATTAATATAGGAGATCACTTACAGGTAAATAAGTTAAAAACATAATTTAAGATTGCAAGCTAAGTAATTGAGCTACGAGTTTAATGCATAGTATTTAATTTCAGTTGGTATCAAACGACAAATTCAAAAGTGTGGAACACAGAGTACTAGCTAGCTATAAAGGACCAAGAATATCAGTGGCATCCTTTTTCACCACATTTTTTTAAGAGACTTCTACAAGGTTTGGGCCTATTAAAGAATTACTATCCGATACAAATCCTCCAAAGTATCGTGAGATCAAAGTGCAAGAGTATAATACCTACTCCCTAAAAAAAGGACTTGATGGCACCTCGACCCTTCCACATTTCAGGCTTTAATTTATAGTTAAATTTGTGCACGTGCATACTCCCTTTGTCTTTTCAAGAGAGATTGAGATATGTTTTACTTTACTACATACATTTTATGTGAGCCCTTTTGAATTTTCAAAGTTCAATTGATTAATTTAACTTGTTGAACTTAGTTATATTTAATGATATTTAGTAGGATTACGCGGTTTTACCATGGCTCCTTAAGCGTGGATTTTACGTGTAAGCTTACAATTAATGTCAAATTTCATGGGTGAATAAGGGGGTCAGTGGGCTTCCAACTTGTTTCATGAAGTTTGTATTTAGATTTTAAATTAATATTGATTTATTGTGGTACAAGTTATAGAAAATTGTTGAGTATTTAACTATTTATACATGGTTTTAAATAATGTTATGGAGTTTGCCTTTCATTTCATATGTTTCCTAGTTATTGGCCCAAGCAATATCTTTAGTTTTTAATTATGATTTGAAATGATGTAAGTCGAGTGGCATGTTTTATCCTTTTTTTACCTTTTATTGGCAAAAGAAGGACTAGAACGCCTAGCTTTGCGTGCACTAAATTATCTATGTTAGCATGCTTCAGTTTTCGAGCTGTGAAAATTGCTCTATTAGGAAAATAAATATGGGTGTCGATCAACTGTTCAGTAATTAATAACACTTTTTGGGAGTTAAGTACAATAACAGGACCTTACTTTTCTATTTTTTCACCTTTAAGTACCTCCCACTTTTTTTTTTCACTTTTAAGAACCTGAAATCACTTTTCCGATAAAAATTAACCAACTTAAACCCAAGTGTAGTTAAATGTGGGTCCTAGTTTGCATAAATAATGATGATATGGAGGGGTTCTCAGGCTCTAGCAACTAAAGTCCACAAAACCTCTAGCAAGGGCACAAAGGGAATTTCACGTGTATATTTTTTTTTCAAAAAAGTAAAATAGGAAAAAAAAAGAAAAGAAAAGAATGTCACGTGCTGAAGAAATAAGAATAACAAAAATGGGATTTCCTCATTGTTAGCGCCAAGAAGACGAGTTATAAACTAGCTGAAAAAGGCCTTGCATAACGCTGAATTCCCGTGAGAAAGTTCTTAAAAGGGGTCGCAGGACTCCGGCTGGGGGGAGAGTAGCCGTCAATGGAGGAGGTTGATGTTCAAGGCGTCAAGCGTCCACTAGATCTTGTAAGTTGTTGTGTTTCATAGAATTACAATTCAGGATTTTATATTTAGAATTTGTAGTTGATTTAGATCTGCAAAATTACGAGTTAATGTTACTTAAATATGACTGAATGTGATTTAATTGGGGGTGAATGTGCTGTAATTGTTAAATGCTATTAGTGTGAGTGAATTTGTGTTGCATTATTTTGTTGGTTGGTAAATGTTACTTTTTAAGAATTGACTGAAGATTGTTAAGGTCTATATATGTAATTGCTTTATTTGAAGTCTAGTATCTCCATTGGAGATGTGATGGGAAACCCGATTGACATTGCTCCAATATGTATTTGTTGTTGGAACACTTTTGCAATGTGTTGGTATTTTATTTCTAGTACAAATTACGTGGTATGTTATTACTGTATGTTGGCATTTTGTTATTATAATTTATTTATTGTTTGAAAAGGAGTGAATTAGTTACATGTAATGTCTGCAGAACATTGAGGTGGTAGAAAAAGTAAATTTAGATAATGATGGTGATTGTTGTTTGGATGATGACGAGTTGGGTGATGATGATGTGGAGTTTGAGGTATTGATTGGATCGGAGAAGACGGTGAAGAGGATGATTGTATTATTACTAATTTTAATGAAGTTGTTGAAGAGGATGAGTGTATGATTACTGGTGTAATGATGAGCGAGTACGTGTAGGGGAAAATGTTGTGGATGAGGATGGTGGCTGCCATAACAAGAAAGTGGATGCACCTGCAGTTGGAATGGTGTTTTCCGCTTGGGAAGAAGTGTATAGTTACACTAGGCTAAAATTGCTAATCAACACCGATTCAAAACCCCCATTTCGCACTGGTTTTGAACCAGTTCTGATTTGAGGGATGCCAAATCCCAAGACTTTTCGCATCTGTTCAAAATTGTGAAAACTTATTTTTCGCACGGTTCTTGATGCGAACCGGTGCAAAAAGTCCCCAAAAATATTTTAAAAAACACTTTTAGCACCGGTTCTTGCTGTGAACCGGTGCGAAAAGTGGCAAAAAAAATTAAAAAAAAAACTTTTAGCACCCGTTCTATTCCAAAACCGGTGCCAAAAATGCCAAAAAAAAATAATTTTTTTTTTGCATTTTTTTTTACTTAAATTGTACCAAATACTTATATATAATCATAATATACATAAAAAACATATATTTTCTTCAATAACTTGTAATATTACACTTTAAAAAACTGAAAAAAAAAATTAAAAAAAAAAAAAAAACATATAAATTCGTTGATGGCAAACCATATGAGAAGGCCATTAGCAGCATAAGGGCAGTCTTCAATCACCAGTTTCACTCCACAGGATGCTATGGGATCCTCTTCTGCCATTCCCCAGGAAAATCATACAGCTATCAGTACAGCACCCAACTGTCCTCAACACATAGGTTCAGTTTGGTTGTATGAGACATATATTTGGTAAACTAAGGTTCAAAGAATGAAAGGAGGCAAAGGTGCATGAAGCAAGTGGAAATAAGATAGCAGTCATGTCAGTAATAGTTCACCTTCGAAGTAGATCAGCTGGCAGTGCCTCCTTTTAGCGCAAAGCTCCTCTTGAGAAATGGCATCATCAAAAGGAACATCTTCACTGTCACCATCATTGTTATACCGCAAGACAGGTTGCGGACTTTGTGTTTAAAACATGAAAAAATACACTTATATGCA